CGTTTATTGTGCACAGCTGAGGTCTTGAAGAATATGCACGGCCATGCATATGTCAGAGCACTGTTACATTAATGTGTCTTCCTTAAGGGCAAACAAACTTGGACCGAACACTATTCCTGGCGAATCTGAGTGGTGTATCTGGGTAGGCCCCTGAAATATTTGATATTTTCCCTAAAGGCTTTAATAAGGAACCCTATATACTCATATTTTTCAAAGGGCTTTAGGGGCCAACCCAGGCATGTAGTATACTTTTCATGGACGACCGTGTCAAGTATAGGGGCGATGCCTCACGCGCACACAGGCGTGCCAGAAGTCTACGGCTCAAACCCCAAGACCATGGGCGCAGGTTCACAGGTACGCCACAGCCTTACGGTGAGGCAAGGCATTGAACCGTTCCACAACCCCAGAGCTTTAACACACATGTTGTAACTGGGTAGCCCCCTGAAATATTTGATATTTTCCCTAAAGGCTTTAATAAGGGACCCTATATACTAATATTTTTCAAAGGGCTTTAGGGGCCAACCCAGGTAAACATTCTCAAAATCAGGGCCCCCCTACACCCTGAACCCTAAACCCTAAACGTAATCCTCGCGAAGCTCTGCAGCTTCCCTATTGACCTCTTAAGCCTAAGCGCCTCGTCGAAAACCTTGAAGCTTTAAAAGCCTGTCTGGACTGAACTCAAGGGTTTGGGCGGACGGGTTGACGCTGTTTCATGGCTTCAGGGTCCCTAAAACCCTATACATGATCACCCGATTATGAAGTAGTAGTTCTTGTTCTGTTTTCCATTATAGTCCCGCTTAAGTAGATAGAAAATGGGGTATATGGGGATCTTATTAAAATATACCCAAAGACATAGTCTATCTACTTACGGGGGACTATATCCTTATAGTACAAATCCCAATAGACCTTCACCTGCTAAGCTCCCTAAATCCTAAACCCTAAACCCTAAACCCTAAATCCTAAACCCTAAATCCTAAAACCCCCCCAAAAAAGCTCTCAGGTGGTGGGGCCCGCCTGAAGCTCGCGCGCCATTTCGTTTGGCCTTCTCTCGGCGAGACAATACGTCTCAAGGGTAATGTAGACCCATGATTGATGAACCCCTCCTTTTAAGGGCCTTAATATGAGGATCCCTCTTAGGGTTTAAGGGCCTTAGTATTAGGATCCTTGTTATGATCCCCGTTAAGGGGAGGGGGTTTATTAATCAGGGATCTCCATTAGTCTGACCTCAGCCGATGTTAGGGAGGTTCTCAAAGTCATGAGCCCCTCTTCGTCGAGCTATGTAGATAGGGTTTAGGGTTTAGGGTATTAGCTTGGTTGTAGAGCTGAAGCAGTTGCAATGTTCATGATGTACAGATATGTATATCATCTTGGGGATTTGTAGGATTCTGGTTGCGCAGGATTCCCACTCAACGGATTCTTGTATCAATAAATGCAGCATTTGAATTGAACTGTATTCTTCTGACTTCTTAAACCCCTCTATCTTTGATGCAAGCCTGCGTGGCGGAGTCGCTTGACGCAGAAAAGTGCGAGCTCTGGTTGGGTTCAGCGAATAACCAGCCAGAATTCCTGAAGGGTCAAATCGTAATCGCAGTCCAGAGTGCATGCAAGCTGCAACGCATGTCAGAATTTCCGAATGCTGGGGATGCGCATTCATGTGTTGTGCCTCACGACTGGCTGCACAAGGTGCGTGTCTCGTGCATCCTGACAAGGATTTTAGAGCCTGACAGGGCCTCCTTACTGCATACAGACAGCAGCCAGCCTGTTCCGCATGTCGCTTGGATCTCCGGTGCTCAGACACATAAAGCCATGGAGAGCCTAAAAGAGTCCTCAAAATCGAAGGGCAAACCTTAGGCGTTTTCTGCATAGGGAATTGTCTTCGAACCCTCAAAAAATATGGGATCCTTAAATGGGAGCCCCCGCAAACGGGCCACTCCGTTGAGCAACTTCATCATGAATTCCTGGGCAGGTGGCAGCAACTGAGAGGTTGAGCAGCGATGTGCAACGCCACATCCGTAGCCACAGAGCTCAATGTATATCTTATAGTTCGGTGCTTCAAGAAACTGAGCTTTTTGGGGGAGCAGGCAAGTGAGAATATAAGTCATATGCGGGGCATGGCAAGGAAAACAAGATAATCTCTATGGAAAAGACACTGCTTTGGCAAGCTAGGGCTGCATCGGCTCCGGTTTCGATGCGTTCAATCCAGTGCATGTTGGAGTGGGACCCGAAACCAGCAACAAAGAGCAACTATAGCAATCTATAGTAACGGCAGCCCTGAAATTGGGAGTAGTGATTTCCGGCATAGCAGCAACAACAAGTCAGCTGGCAGTGGCAAAAGCGATCGAAGTACCAGTAGCTTCAGCTTGTATACGTGTAGATATCCACTCACGCCACAGGACTGCACGAAATGCGGTGTGTTCTGGTTCGGCGTGGCTGTCCTGTAGGACCGAATGTGTGGGGGACCCAAACATGCTGCGCAACGCAAGTGCCATACTCGGCTCTGACTTCATATCAGGTGGCGGTAGTTTCTGTAAGGTCCGGCAAAAAGCGGAACCTACGTGGAATCTACATCTAGGATGTTTTGAGTCCCATGCCTCGCATTATGTCATCCCGATTGGGTTATTTTGCTTTTCATTTGGTCCTTCAGCGTGGGGCTGTCTTTCCTCAACTGGCACGAAGCTGTGCCGGACTGCCCCCAGTTGATGTGCCATGGCTTCCGCAGCAAACATAGTAGAAATATGGTAATAATGTACAGGCTACCAAGCAGCTCCGCCCCTGTAGTTCTTAGTCTCAAATGTTTAGGGTTTAGGGCTGCAGCAAGATCATGTCATTGACCATTCATGACAACGAAGATTTCATTGCATCCCCAACCCATCCCAAATCTTCGTTGACTGATCTAAAGCACATCATGTGTGGGGAATAAGTTTTCGCGGAAGCCATGAGCAGAACGACGGAAGCCTGCTGCAAGCAATCGTCAAATCAAGATTGCGTCACGGCGTGGATAGCAAGGTTGGATCATTGCCTTTGGCTGACATAATGGGCGCCACTCTGTGCATGACTCGGGATGCTTCCAAACTCAACTTCTGTGGGCCCCCTTACCAGATCTGCGCGCTAACCCAGCAATGTGTGAGTCCGCGGTTGTGTGAGGGCCCAAGTTTTGAGATAGCACATCCCAAAAGGGCCACAGCCCCGCAGCCACCCACCCAATTTGCCAAAGAGTGCCCCTGGAGCAACGTGCATAGGACCATTAAAGTGCCAGCTTGATGTGCCTGTGCTTACATAACAAAGTTGCTGTTGCTTAGGAAGGGTTCGGCCCACCATGTCAGGTCACCTCATTGAACTTTGTTCAACACAGCTCGCGCCCTCAGCCCTGAACCCAAAGTCTTAAAATACAAGCAAACGTTATAGCATCACAGTAGCTATAGACGCGGCGTGGCGTCTTGCAGCGAAATGGCGGTGGAGGCGCAGGCAGCCCCCAGAGTGGGTTGAGCGCTTCCAGAGAACCGGGAAGCCATGGCGCCTTAATCTTGGCCTCAAATACCTCGTAGATACCATCTATGTTTACAGAAGCTTGTGCATAAGCTCGTACATATATGTATATATATATATGTATACACATGCACTTACCTCCAGGGTTCCGGGGCCGAAAGCAGATTCACCCTCTGTCTATAGGTCTCCCTTAAGTAAATAGAATATGGCTTTGGGTATATTATAATAAGATCCCCGCACACCCCATATTCTACCTACTTAAGGGGGACTATACGTATGCGTTTGTATTGGGGAATCCAGCGAAAAATGACAAGGAACATGAAATGGGAACCAGGGTGCTTGGGGGGGATTTAGGCTGCGCCTAGGCCAAAGCCATTCTAATAATTACTTGACAGACCTTGGCTGAAACCTTAGAAGCCGGACCTAAGGACTGCAGGTTCTAAGTCGGTGGCTTGGAAAATCAAAAGGATTGCTGCCTTAAGGTTCAGGCCAAGATCCGATCAAAGACTAGCTTCATGCCCCACACAGAACCTGGGGGCAGCGTTGCCCCTCACAAAACTTCTCCTCCCTCCACTACACGCACACAAAAAAAAGGCACCACCACACCGCCTTGCGAGGCCATGGAGGCGGATGCCTCGCCAACAGCCCCCTCAGGCGCCCGACTGCTGGAGCCTGCGCCCCAGAGAGATTGACAGAGAAAATCCTAAATTACCAAAAGGTGCTGTATATACAGGAAGTATATAGGGATCATATTCCTTTATTCCCTACGAACCCCCACAAAAATTATATAGGGATTGTATTCCCTTATGCCCTACAAGACCCCAGTAGGTTGACCAATAGACCCCTATTACCGTAAACCCTCCAGGGATCCGAAGACCCATGCCGAGGTCGACGCTGTACAAGGAAGATGTGCTGCCAAACTGCCCTTAGGTCAGTGGGCTGTTGCGAATACTGTTGTGCCTGCTAGGGGTCGTTTTGGGGGGTTGTTGTATCATGGGAACTTGCATTTGTGAAGTCCACCAGGATTGGACAGTGATTGGCACCAAGAGGCTGAGAGAAGCACTTGGGCTTTCGAATACATCATGACGTTGTTGGAGCGGCTTGGGTCAGCTGAGGTTCATCAATGAGCACACTTCTGTATGGGGCTCCTACTATGACCCGGACACCAAACGATGGGGCTACAGTTGCTGTGTCCTGGCTGCCTTAATATCCCTGCAAATCCAAGTCTCCTCCTTCAGTGTTGTGTACGAGTAGCTACGTTTGCGGTACTTGTCAAGAGCCATGCTCCGTAGTGCTCCCACACGTGCACCAAAAACCAGGGGTCGTTATGATAGGTGCCCTGGGCGCAATGTCGAGAAACCTACAGTGAATGCTAAGCCATTCGCGATCCCTATACTTTGTGACAGTAGCTGTTGACTTAGATAAGAGGCAGAGCATTTCTTCTGTTCTAGCTATCCAAGCCCCAGACCCACATCCCCAGAAGTTCAGCAGCCTGCAGAGCCCGAGGCAAGGCAATGGAGAAGCAGGGCAAGTGCCCTGACAGCCATGAGGTTCTTATACTGGTGGTTCCTGGGGTAAGATGGAATTGGTTAATGTTACCATAGCATTAATAAAGGGGGTGGCAACATTTTGTTGTTGCCGAGCCAGAAAATCCCGGACCGTCAAATTTGCTTTCTAACAAGTTCGGAGCCCGAATAGGTTTAAACAAGGTCCATCAGCAATAATAAAAGCGTGGCAATAAGAATATTGTCCGGCCAGGCACGTGCCGACATTAATAGATTCCCTTCTACGTGTCCTACTAGTATCACGAGCTGCACTACCTGGTCCTACCCCAACCCCCTGGTTTATTATTGCAACCTCCTTCCGCAAACCAAAAACGCAAAAAAGTGCTGGGGGTGTGGACAGGGATTCTGACCGGCGGTTATGTAGAGCCTTCTCCCGGGATCCATGCCCCACCTCCCTTTGCTGCAGCAAGGCTTTAGGTTTAGCAGCCGTGGGGTTGGTGCTGGATTGCGGGCTTTTACTATCATATGAGCCATAGTCTAAACTCCTGAAAGGGGGCTTTTATAGGGGTTATTCCTTGGGAGACTAGGAGTTTAGACTATAGCTCATATTTCATATTCACGCTATGTTCTAGGAAGGGCAGAGAATGCGCCATGGGCATATCTGCTCCCATCCTGCGACATCGCTGAGACACATTCCGTGGTGACCCTCATCAAATTGGCGCAGAGGGCGCACATACGCGCATCCCAACAGCATCCAACAGCTCAAACAACGGAGTGAGTAGACCAAGCATACTAGGGTTAAAGCTAGTATGTTCTTCTCAACACGTCCTTTAATACTTAAACCTTACGTGAACCCTCACCTGCCTGGTGCCCCAGTCAATCTTCCATGTAGCTTCTTGTCTGCAAGCGACTCACTCTACGGCGGTCGATTATAGGTTTGCCCTTCCCCTCCGTCTTTTGCTCGGAGATGGGAACTCTTCACTAGGGCTCTTTGCTGCTCCTACGAGAACTACAGCTAGAGCTGCAGCCAAATTACAGCTACAACTACAGCAAGTACGGCAACAACGGTATAGCAGTAGCAACAGCAAGCTGAGCTTCAGGAGGCATTCCACTTCACTTAGCTGTGCCACGGATGTGAGCGGCTTGTAGCTGCACTGTGCTCAGTGTAGGGGGTGGTTGGCGTTCAGCGACTGTTCGAGTCAACTCTCATCAGTCCAGCACCCAGTCGTCCTCCAAGCTCTGACACCTCAGACTCCCATGCTGCAACTCTGAACTCAACAATCTCACGATCCCTAGCGCTGAAGCACAGGGACTGACATTTTGCAAACGCCTAAATCAGGTGCACTGCCGAGAAAGCGCCAGCCCCGGAACCCAACTCCAGCGATCCTCGATTCCTGATAGCTGGTTTGGACTAGTGTTCGGGCTGTTTGGGGCTCAGGGCTTAGGATTCAGAATTCAGGGTCTAGGGAAGGTAATTGTCAGTCTCATGTCGGGCCCATCTGCGGCTTCACTTTTTCAGAATTTGAGGAATCGATAAGGCAGAAGTTTACCATAACGTTGCGGTGTCAGATGACACGTGCAAGCATGTTTGAAACAACAACTGACTGTGGCCAGGCCACGTGCTTTATTTCCTTGGTTTCCCTACATTTTTTTTTGATAGGTTCCTCCTTAGTTGCTTAGTAGTGACGCAGACTCGGAGGTTTGGCGTCTTTAGGTCGGTGAACGAGAGAAAGAGAGGTCGTTGAACGGTGAATCAACTGGTTCGCTTCAAACATGAGTGCGGGCAAACCAGCCGAAATCTGAACGAGACATCCCACGGATTCCGAGGTTTGTTGGTAGTCTCCATGTGCTTGTTGTGTGGACATTTATGGATCCCTCCCCCTCAGTACCCCTCGAAGGGGGGTGCTTAATAGTAGTATGGAGGGATGATAAAATACACGCATAGAAATGGAGAGAGATATAGAGAGAGAGAGAGAGGGAGAGATATTCCTCATAGTTACGGCTATTGGTACCACCACTGCTGAGACAATAACGCCCTAGAACGTCCCGTGAAGTTCTTGCCATTCCCGTTAGCCTGCGTATTCGACCGCTTTGTAATCCACACATGACCCTCTCATCCCTTTCAACCTCTGCACTTTCCCTGTGAACTCCTTGTGCGTAGCTTGTTTCCCTAGATCGTAAACCCTCCGCCCGCCATCCTTGGAGACCCAGGATCTGGACAACTCGCCAGACAGCGAAGCTTGGGGGAAGCTCGGAGGGTTAGAACCCGTGTGTGTCAAGTATGTTTAAATCGCTTTCTCTAAAAGAAAGGGTCCTTTCAGAGGAATCTTGCCGTGGGGACATGTGGGGATAATCTTGTGTGTTGTCTACCTGTGTGTGGAAGTCTCGCTTTGAGACATGGGCAGGCCGGCAGGTTGTTATGCAGGACCGTTTCGTTTTGGTTGGCTTGTTGCAGATTTCTTTAGGCGCACCATGCTTCACAAGCTCTCACGGGGGCCATATGGGGATTGTCCTAAATTACTGTCAATACGGGGTCCTATATGTGGGTTCCTATTATAATACGGGGCCCTATATAAATTTCCCTCATTTTGGGAACAGTAATTTAGGGAAACTTCCATATGTCCTTCATACAGCCTGTGCCGCACAATCCCAGAACCGGCAGGCAGAGACCAGGAGCCTCAGTTATTGGAATTATTTCCTGATATTGTGTGTATGGGCAAAGACTGTCAATACATCTCCTTATGACGGCATGCTGGCCCACGTCCATTTAGAACTCAATCTGTCTATGGTTCCTGTCAGTTATCCTTTTGAAGCCTTTCTGTGGCCTCATCATTTGGAAGGACACCCACGCAATCTGCAGAGCCAGGAACATAAGGCAGCTTTTCAAGATACCCTAAATTATTTTTAAAAAATTAAACCCTAAACCCTAAACCGATGTACTACACAATCCTCAAGTCGGAGCCCCACACTCTCCCAAACATCCTCCACAATGGTGCATTTTGAGAAACCTCCCAGCAAAACCAAGATGCTTTCAACCCCCTTATGACCCTCATGTAACCCCATTTAATGCTAATGTGACTCCCTCCAAATATAGATGGGGTGCTGCTCCCAAAAATTTGCAGTCTGGGCATGTATATTTATAGCCCTGAATATGACCCCTCATATAGACTGTTACAGGGAGGGGGCAGGCCCAAACCCTAAACCCTAAGTAGTAGTTTGCATTTTCTTTTCCATTATCCCTAGATCACCCCTATATATTATAGTAGTTTCCATTCTCTTTTCCACTATCCCTATATAACCCTCATATAACCCCATATAATCCCTACTGTATGGAATCCCTATATAACCCTATATAATCCCTATAGAACCCCTATATACCCCAGCCTAAATGCTTTCAACGCATGTTGGCAGATGCAAGGCCTGATGGTGTTGCACCTTGGCTGCGGGTAGGAGCCCTCTAGGGTTTAGGGTTCAGGGCTTAGGGTTTAGCTTCCACGGCAAGGGGGATACAGGGGTTATTTAGGGACATAGGCATAGGGTGTAGGGTTTAGGGGTTTAGGGCTTAGGGGTTCGTAGGGAATATGGAAATATAGTGTTTATGGGCATATGCGTGTAGGGTTTAAGGTTTAGGGGTCTCTCCTTTGCTTGAACCGCCCATCCCGTAATTTGAGGATACCTGGGACCTGTCGAGCATTTGATTTTGGTCGCAGGCCGCTTCCCAAGAATCCTGCTGGCTTAGTACCTGAATATGTCCCCAATACAACCTCTATATATTCCCTGGTTTCCATTTGATTTTCCATTTTTCCCGTTTGATTCTCCATTATTGGGGTTCCTCATGATCATTTTCTACACCCTAGTTAGTTGCCAGCGCGTCAGGAAATCATCGATTGGGGCAATCCGCCAACTGAGCTCCGTCCGCGAGAGAGCTTCAAGGTCCCTGCGTAGCATCATGCAGGGGGGTCTAACCAGGTAGGAACACTCAAGTTATAAGCAGTTAAGGGTTCAGGGTTTAGGCTAGTTATACCTAGAGTCGCCCTTAAGTAGATAGAATGTGGCTTTGGGTATATTATGATAAGATCCCCATAATAGCCAATATTCTATCTACTTCAGGGGAACTATATATCTCCCTAGTGTTCCCACTATACGTGACACTCCCGTTTCGTAATATGTGTACTTGGGAGGATCCTGAGGGCCCTAAAGGTCGTGCTTCAAGGCATTGGGCTTGGGTAGAAAGTTGAAAATCCTAAGAAACCTTCAGTTTGCCTCTAGGTCTGGGACTACCTAAGATTCGTGGTTGCATCAAGATCTATTGAGCCAACTGCTGGGGTTCGATCCGGAGTGACTCGAAATATGCGTAATTGATACAGTTTAAAACAGCAAGCTGCCCGCGTCGACTCAATGAAGGTATGGGACCTGTGCTGCATGGTGGAACCTGGCGCTCGAGGTCTTTACGGCCAGATAGGACAATGGAGAATCAGCTGGAAACGAAAACGGAACGTGAGATGGACACTCTGGTTAATAATTGTGTCATAAGTTTTGAGTTGATGCATGGTGATTACTGGCGCTCACTTGCAGTTCAGATCGCGCGGCTGATCCAAACTACGCGCTCATGTTAGGTGCTTGCACAGGGTAGCTTCAGGCGCGCATTTATCCCGGAATAGTTTGAATCGACTTTCCAAGAGCCTCCAAAGAAAGACCCAGACTCTGTTTTTGAGGACTCGCGTACGTTATGAGCTGGGCTGTTCGTTGCTATATTTGGGGGTATCATTGCAGAGGTCAGAGTTGAGCCCCTCCTGAAAAATTGCATGTACCTGCCTTTTGACTACCCAAAGCAGAGTTTCTCAGAATAGGGGCGCCCTCCTGTCTAGTGTGGTCAGAGGGACATCTCTGGGCTTGGGAAGGCCTCAAAAGTAATCACCTCCGCTTAAGACTACAGCTGCCCAATCTGCTAAGAGCAAATAGTCCCCTGGTATGGGGGTTTCCCAAAATTAGGGGTACCATTTTGGGGGTCCATAATAAGGACTATAGTATTTTGGGTTCTATATTGGGGTACCCCCTTATTTTGGGAAACTACCATATAGACATTTAGCATACAGGGATATTCGTTAGCAGAGGGGTGGGGGGGTTTCATTCTTGATCTGCACAGGCGGCTACGGCTTGGGTGGAGCATTACGTGCGCCACTACATTGGTGAGTGGCAGCGCAAGGCAGGTCATGCGTCAGATGAGTTACAGTGCAAACTCCTCCAAGAGGGGTTACGTAGGGGATTACAGGGGCATATTATAAGGGATACTAGGAGTTTAGACTATATGTCAGATGCAGGTAGTAAGCCACGTCCGCATTTCTTACAGCTACGGTCACGTTGCAGAAAAACATCAAGGCGTCATCATGGGGATCATCTTGTCAAACATACTTAGGGGTATGCTTTCGATGTTTCTCAACATTGAGGTCCCCTCACAGGATCCCTCATCACCGGGATCAGAAGTTGAGATCCATTATTCTAACTTACTGGTGGTAATTGGGGAAGGGATTTCCATAAATGAGTACTCCCTATAGTTCCCAGTGATCCCTGTAACCTTTCCTAAATTTTCTTGTAGCGCCCAGCAAGTTGAGGGTCTGACAACGGACTGCAAGTATCGTGGGAGAGAGGAGGAAGAAGCACGGAGCAACAAAAAAAAGACCTGTACAGAGGTTTCTCAATCAGTGGCACCCTGGGAGCCGAGGGCTATTTCGGGGTAACCAGGGGATTTCATCAGAGATTGTAGGGCTAAAAGCTCGCATATATATGTGTAGGTATGTATATATATATATATCGCTGATGAGACTTTTGGGTTAGCTCTTTTCTTCCAGGCGTAGGCGCGTAGGGGGGGTATGCGAAGATTCAATCCTGGTTAGCTGCAGCGACCCTGAATTGACAAGAGCTTGGCATGTATCGTGAGCACCTCAAATTCTGTCGTTAAATCCTCGGTAACTAGCGTGCCTCCATTTATTCAAAACGCTATATGATCTGTAGTGAAAGCTGATTACAAGAGTTGCATAAGGGGATTACATAGGGGAGTATTTTACGGGATACTAGGAGTTCAGCCTGGGGCTGATATACTTCTGCCCGAATCTGCTGCAGGCGGCTGACGGCTATGCTGGATTTCCAGACTTGGCTGCATCTTGGATCAAGCAGTTCATATCAACTGTAGTCTAATGAGGGGGGTTATGTAGGGGATTATAGAGTATGTTCCTACATAGATCCCTAGACACCCCAATATGACCCATTATAGTAGTCTCCATTTTCTTTTCCATTATCCCTATATATCCCATTATAACCCCCATAACCCTTATATCCCATTATAACCCCTATAACCCGGGATCTTCTTAAGGGAGCACAGGCTGTTAGACTATAGCCCAAGCAGCCCCAGGATCATCCACTCAAATCACCCAGGTTCTACAATAAAGGGACCCTACTGGGAACCCCAACTGGGAACCCCAAGAACATAGTAGGTATATAATAGAATTACACCTACCAGGGTCCTCATATTCCATTATATTCCTGCTATATTCTTGGGGTTCCCAGTTTGGGGTTCCCAGTTTGGGGTTCCCAGTTTGGGGTTCCCAGTTTGGGGTTCCCAGTTTGGGGTTCCCAGTAGGGTCCCTTTATACAAAGGCTGGCAAGGAAGAAGCCCCAAGACCAAGGTAGGGAAAAACCAAGTTACAAACAACCGCTGACCTAATATAGCCCTTTTTTTATGACCACCTTCACGGATAAGAATAGTCCCCAAATCCTACACCCTAAACCCTAAACCCAAAACTCTAGATCCCAAACCCTAAACCCTAAACCCCAAACCCTAAACCCTAAACCCCTAAACCCTAAGCCGAAAAACTTCCTAAGGTCACCACTCTGAAGCCACTTCTGAAGCCTTCAATGGAAGCCCTCGCCTCGCCCTAAGAGGGAGGATTTCCTTTGGGTTTAGGGTTTTGGGTTTAGGGTTCAGGGTTTAGGGTTTAAGCAGAAATTGGATTTGGGTTTGGGTACTGCCCCCTACCCAGTAACAGTCTATACTAAGGGTCCTATTAAGGGCGATATATAACCATATTATAATTATTATCCAACTGATAGTGAGGGGGGCAGTACCCAAGATTTAGGGTTTGGGGTTTACGGCGTGGGGTTTGGGTTTAGGGTTAAAGGCGGGTTTTCTGCACAGAGGAAGCGGCCCTATAAAATTTAGCTCAGAAAGCTTCGCAATCATGGGCACATGTGGGGGTCGACCTGTTAGGGAAAGCAAAAGCAAGGAATATAGGGCCAGTTTGCTGATATGAGCGACTCCCAGGTTACCCTACCCCAAATCCCTAGATGTAGAAGAGTTAAGGTGTCTTGAGGTAACCCTTCACCTAAATCCTAAACCCTAAATACTTGGTAGTTTCCATTTTCTTTTCCATTATCCCAATATCACCCACTATTACGGAGGTTGCCCTAAACCTCATAAAAGGTTCGGGGTTTGAGCGCGCATGGGGCCGTGCCCCTCACTGCAGTGAAGTAGCTGTTGAAGTGACAGCAGATGAGTTCTGTGGGATTATATAGGGACTAATGATTATATAGGGATAATATTGGGTCTATGTAGGGATACTGGAAAACAAAATGGGAACTGCTATATTATAGGGTTATATAGGGTATATATAGGGGTATTAGATGATTATGATTGTACTGGTACTACTTTCGCCGCAAAGTCTGTGGTTTGATGGCCCCGGGCTTCGGGGTATACGCCAGGGTATTCACTGTATTGGATCTTACAATCTGGCGCAAGGGGCCTGTTCAATTCAACGGTAAGAGCCCAAGCAGAATGGCTCAAGTCGTAATATGAAACACAAGCCCAAAGTGCTCTATTTAGCTTCGGTTCAATCCGCTGAGGATTTATTCCAGGCACAGCGCAAGTGAGAGGTACCAACAATATCCTAGCGACACATCAGAGAAACTTGAAAAGAACCCCTTCCCCCTAATATTGGCCCCCGCCCATAATATGAGATACTCCACATATACTATAATACATCACAATGGGGAGGGCATTACATTGCTCACACGAAGCCTCCGCTTCAGATAGAGCGCTTGCATTAAATGAGAATGCTTCTAAGGTTAGAAGTATATTGCTTCTAAGGTTAGAAGTATGGGTCCCTAATATGGGCCCTCAGGCCTTCTCGGGGATTTCTAGGGACCCTAAAGGGTACACATAGGGTATCGTAGGTATATGAGGATCCCAGGGTAATGGGCCCATACTAGGGGCCCATAGTTTCAACCTTCGAGTGCTGTGATGCGTGTCCTTCATTTGAGCTATAGTCTAAACTACCTAAGGGGGTTATATAGGGGACTATATAGGGGAGCACTATAGGGTTTATTCAGGGGGATACTAGGAGTTTAGACTATAGCTCATTTGGAGAGCAGTAAGTTGGCAAACTCCTGCATGGCGTGCCAAGGAGATTCTCATCCGAAGGCTTCACAATCCAAGGGAGCTTGCAGTTCAGCGACAATTCATTTGCTGGGCTTGCCGCAGTGGAACGGAAGGGCAGAGCTTTAAAGCTTTAGGCATAGGCTCTGCCCGGACCCCAAAAGTATGTAAAATAATGGCCTTTATGGCTATTATTAGGGGTATAGGGCGATTATTTTACATACTTTTGGGGTTTAGGTGGGCATTGTTGCTGAAGGTTACTTACAAGTTTTGTACTGGTCCCGCGTGAATCTGAGTCAGGGTGAAGAGAGTTTGCGGATCACTGCCTGGAAGCCTGTAATACGCGTAATCCTTTTCCCGCGCCTGAGAAGTTAAGTGGATGCGAAAAAGGTGGACCATCCCAGATACGTCGAAGCCTATGACAGGCGCAAAATCCCAACTTTATGCTGCTCCAACTTCGTGCTGTTTTAGAAAGCTTGGAACATGAGATTTCCATTAGCACCTGCCAGGAGGTCTGTTGAGAGAATTTGTAAACCCAAGCATCAATCAACCTTCACGGTAACATGTGTGATTTCCTTGATTGTCCTGGGCAGCCACAAAGTTGCTAACCATCAGATATGGCATGGCACGCAAGGGTCTAAACCTTAAATCCCTATCAGCAGCTCGGGCCTTTGATTTGGTTTTCTTTCCCTAAGGGTCCAAGGACACAAATAATTGGGTTTTAGGGCCCAAACACCATTAATATTATAAGAAGTATTTGGGCCCTAAAACCCTATTTGGGTCCTTGGACCCTTCGGGTTTACCTAAACCTGCATCATCACGTGGCTCTCGGGTGTTCCTCAAAAGCAGGCTGCCAAAGATTCACAGGTCTTATGCACAAGACGAACCTCCCCCCGGCAATGAGGCGCCTGCCGCTAAAAACCAACAGTCGTGGACAAGAGGTGCCACAACTAAACTGCCACTTTCATGGTCATGTGCAAGGTTGAAAGCTAGAGTGCTCACACCCCTTTTAGAAAACTTCTCCTGAAGCCAATAAGGGGGTAGCGGAACGTAGAAATCCATCCTTTGTCACTGGATAATGCATATGGGATGTATAGGGGTACATAGGAACGGAAAAGAACATGGAACCTTCAATTCAGGGATTGCGGCTTAGGTTCCCCTACTTGGGTGTGACAACTGTATCTACTTCTGGGGTGATGGGCAGTAAATGATGGGCAATGGCCTTAGGCCCCAGACATGCTGAGGCGCGGGGCCGCGCGCATTTTAAAACACCACCTGATTTGGCCTTCTTTTTGATTCCAACGTTTCAGATCTATTTAGCAACCAAGAACGGGTTGCTTCGGCCCCCACATCAACCACAAGCACGTAACAAGCACGTAAGGCCTGAAAACCCATGAGCTCCCAAGTATTCTGTCGGCTTTGGGATCACAATTTTCGCGGCGCTGAAGTCGAGGATCGGTCCGAGAAGACCATTCGCAAGGGCCGCGAGACGCGAGCTGGCATGGAAGGCCGCGTGCAACAAGAGACCCTCGGCCTCAGCAGCAGGAGCTTTCAGTGGTTTTCAGGGTGTAGAGTGATAATTTAGGGTGCTATGGGGTTTTATAGGGATAATGGACAAGAAAATGGAAACGAGTATATAGTATATTGTCATTAAGTAGGGTTTTGGATCTAGGTCTTGGGTTTCGGATGTAGCTGGAGTGGGTCCTCGAGGGTCTGCGTAGATGGCTATGGAATTGGCATGGGTGAGATTCTTGGAATGCAAAGAAACAAGACTGCTCTCATTGCTATTTTGTCCGCCAACGCCATGTTTTGAGTAGATACAACACTTAATTACATATGACCCTAAAAGCTAAATGTTCTAAACCTTACACCCTAAACCCTATTCCCTGAGCTTTTTTCCTTAAAGCCTACAACCTAAACCACTGGGGGGGGGACAACAAAACTCACAACGCATCCTTAGCGGTATGTCAGCATGCTGCTCACAAACGCTGCCCTCTCCCGCTCCCAAAGGAGCTACACAAAAAAAGGGGCTCCTCTAGGGGATCCCAAGAATGAGGAGCACTACTACATACTACTGCTATTACTGATTTTACTCCTCCGTGTTACTACTATTACTCCTATTAGTACTATTACTATTGCTATCAGTACTATTATTGCGAGATAATTATTGCGATTCCTACACTACAGTATTACTACGATTTCTACAAGTATCATTATTGCTGCTTTAAATATTTTTTGAATTATTACTAGTACTACAAAAACTACTACTACTACTACTACTACTACCACTACTACTACTACTACTACTGCTACTACTACTACTACTACTGCTGCTACAATAGTACATTGGGGCCTACATTGGGGGATCTGGCTCAGTCTCAGATGTTCTAGCGCAGATCACGGCTCGGGCCATCCATCCAAGTTGCTAAGCAGCTAGCGTTTTGGATTTAGGGTTTTGTTGAAGCTTTGCTGCTAGATTTGCACCAGAGCTTGGTACACCCATCAGTTGCGCCAAGCCTGAACCCTTGGGACCTCGCTGGCTGAATCCATTGCATCAGCCTCCCTCAGAAATCAGGTTTATACAGTCACAGTCTCTGAGACACCTACATGCTAATCTATAGAAACAGCCCATACTTTGTAATCCTTGTGATGGACCATCCTTATCCCCTCATGATGCCATGTATTTGCAGGATTCGTCAAGGACCCCATGTTCTCAGAAACTCTCACGCGAGCCATAGTTTTCAAACGCCTAGTATCCCACTTAAAAATCACTATAATACTTCCCTTTCCAACCCCGATAGAACCCCCTTCAAGGAGTTTAGATTATAGCTCACATGCTCAGGCGAAGTGTGCCCCGTCATGATTGGAGGAAGCCGGAAGGCTCAGGCAACACTTTGAGGGGCCCAGGAGTTATCTCGCATGTTACTGTAGTCTCCTTAGGACTTTTCATTGTGATTCTGGAATGGGCCCAAGGAATTAATAAAACTCATATGTTTGTTCTAGGTCTACGGGGATTCCGGGCTAAAAGTCCTTAATATTTCCTACCCTACATCATGCCTGTGGAACCCTTGCGGTTAATCCGACTTTCAAGGACCCTGGAGTCAGCAAATATTGGTTATAGGTATCCCGTTAGAGAAGCTTTCCTAACCCCTACTATGGTAGTTTCCGTTTTCTTTTCCATTATCCCCTTATAGCTCCAATATGCTATAGTAATTTCCAGTTTCTTTCAATTATCCCTGTATAAACCCAATGTACTCTTTGTAACCCCAGGGTCCGCAAAGTGGTTTGCTGGCTCAGATCTGGGACTTGGAGAGCTTGGAGGCTCACAGCTAGAACCTCTATGAGCTGTAGCTTGAATTCCTTAAAGGGGGTTATATAGGGGATTGTATAAAGCACTGCTATAGAAATTATTAAGGGGGATGCTAGGAGTTTGGCTCCGGGTGCGCCAAGTGCCCGGGCTCGCCGGGCACATACCCCTAATTCGCCGGGCACATACCCATAATTTCCGTGAAGAGTTGGTCCACGGCGCATATTTGGCCGTGGGTTTTCAAGCACTTTCGCTCTTCCGCCTGCGTGCACCGCAAGATCGTGTTCTGCGAGAGCATACGCGGATTAGAGCATCCATGCCCCAACCATACCTCCGTTCGTGTTCCAAGAGCATACGGTGACCAGAGCCTCCATGCCCAAACTATAATAACGTTCGTGTTCCAAGAGCATACGGTGACCAGAGCATCCATGCCCAAACTATAATTACGTTCGTGTTCCAAGAGCATACGGTGACCAGAGCATCCATGCCCAAACCATAATTCCATTCG